CCGCACACTGCCACTGCATGGTTCCCCCTGACTCCTCGCCTCCTCACCTCCACTGCTGGTCACCCTTCATGTTCTGCGCCACCCCCTGGTATCAGCGCACATCCTAACAAGCGATCAAACTTCCAGTTAAACTCCTGAGGAGACACTTCGCATATTAGCCTTTTATATATATAGATATTGGGTGGGCCTGGCCGATGTGGCTCAGTGGTTGACCTTTGACCTATGAACCAGGAGGTCACGGTTCGATTCCTGGTCAGGGTACATGCCTGGTGGCATTTAAATATATAAAATAAATATTAAAATACAAATCTTTGTTTTACTACCAAATATCAAAAATTGCAAATATCAAAAAATTTCTATATGTGACACAGCACCAGAGTTAAGTTAGGTTTTTCAAAATGCTGACACGCCGAGCTCAAAAGGTTCGCCATCACTGCGACTATGCTAAGACTTCAAAGATATTATCTTACTTTATTCTCACAACTTTCTAAAATAAACGTGTTTTATCTCCATTATGTAGATGAGGAAACTTAGATTCAGTTTAAGCCACTTAGCCATAAGTGGAAGAGAATCTGACTCCACAAAAGGGACCATATCTATCAATTAATTCACCCTAAATGTGGAATTTTGACTTTGCTCTCACACATGCAATCTCTGACCATTTATTTAGCTCTCGCTATATACCAAGACTATTGTTATTACTGTAAGCATGGCTATTATTATAATCAATCCAGGTGTTCAGGCACAGAAGGTGAAACTTCGGTGCATTTCTGAGGTCCTCGTGGGATTTTGGAACTGTGTTTGCCAGCGCCCACACTGAGAAACGTCCGGTGACTTGCAGTGCTGTCCTGTCCTTGTTGCTCTGTGCATGAATAATGGCAGATAAACTGCTCAGCACTCTCCCCTCTGCTTCCACCTTGTTTATGCTGCAATTGGAGAGGGATTAAGTTTTGCTAATTCCACACAACAAGCTAAAGCCCATTTATCACAATTTTCCATTCCTCAGCAAAACATACAAACGCACCTAAGTGTTGGGCAAACAAAGACATGCAGCTGCTGTTGTATGGAGCAATAATGGCCTGTTTATATGCAGGCGCAGCTCAGCAAGAAGAATACAGAGGGCAATGGTATCGGTCTCCCTCCCGCCTCTGCCTGCTGCGTCTACTCGCCCGATGGCCTGCCTCTGTGAAGTGCGGAACAGGAGGGAGAGGGAGAGGAGTGGATTTTAGAACAGGGGACACAGAAGCTCATTTCCCAAAATAATGTGCTAATTACTAAACAGTATTAATGCCGCTTGCTTAGGAATGTGGATTTGAGTGGGAGTGGTTTAGAATTGGAAGAGTTAAGCTAGAGATGGGGGAAGGGAAGGAGAATAGAGTCCCTGTGTGTGTATCTCTCTCTCTCTCTCTCTCTCTCTCTCTCTCTCTCTCTCTCTCTCTCTCTCTCTGTGTGTGTGTGTGTGTTGGCTTTCTGCCTTAGAGAGGCTAGCCAAAGTAATTTCTTCTCTTCAGCTTTTCATTTATTTCAAATGCCAAACCCTTAAAGCAGCCTTAAGATTCTTCCTAGTTATAGCACAGCACTGATATCCTGCTTATTCTAAAAGAGCTGTCAGCTAGGAATTAGAAGTTTAGCAAATAACCTGCCTCTAACCATCCTAACCATCTTCGTCCTCTCTGGGTCTCCATTTGTTCCCAAAGTAAAGGCTTGCATTAGAAGATTGCCTTTAAAATATCTTCCTATTCTTATTTCCTTAATCGTGATAATGTGGAGAGAGCAAGAGACCTTATCTTCTAGAGTTGTATATGAATTTGTAAGGTAGCTGAGATTTGCTTCAAAATAATCCAGTAGTTGGGGGTTGTGGGGAGTTGGATGAAGGTAGAAAGGAAATGATAATACTGTTGATTTATGGTCATGGAAACAGGTGGTGGATTCATGAGACTTCATTTCTCTAGGCACAGATAATATGCATGTATACACATATATACAGATATGTGTGTATACATGTCATCCAAGTTTCGACTTGTATGATCTTAAAACTTAATATTTTAACTTGTGCCATTTGTTTATTTACTTCTTGTGCTATTGTTCTTGCCTTAATTCTCTGTCTGAAAACTATCTTTTAAAATTTATTCTATCCCTCACTGAAATGCAAGCCCAGGGTTGAGTATATATGAAGTGGTGGGGAGGGGCGTCCCTTAGCCCGGCCTGTGCCCTCTTTCAGTCTGGGAGCCCTTGGGGGATGTTCAACTGATGGCTAAACTGGCAGGCAGTCGGACATCCTTAGCACTGCCCTGGAGGCAGGAGAGGCTCCTACCACCACTGCTGCGCTCACCAGCTGTGAGCCCAGCTCAGGGCTTCTGGCTGAGCAGCACTCCCCCTGTGGGAGCACACTGACCACCAGGGGGCAGCTCCTGCGTTAAGCATCTGCCCCCTCGTGGTCAGTGCATGTCATAGAGACTGGTTGTTCCACCATTCAGTCTATTTGCCTATTAGCCTTTTACTATACAGAATAACCAGACAGCCTAGAGCAGCCTCGAGCCTTGTCAGAGATCATCTGTATTACAGTCACCTGGTCTTGGACTTTAGTGACCAAAACTTTGCCCTTTTGGCCCTCAATGGAGAAAAGCCAGAGAGAGTGGTGCTTAAAGGTCACCCCCATTTCTGAGTATCAGGCTTTGCTTCAATTGATGGACATTAAAAGGTCAGCACTCAGGCTTCTAAGGGGCACATGTTGCTTGTCTTTTATGCTTGAGCTATGCTATTTTTGCAAAATGTCAGTTTTCAAGAGGGAGAAATTTAATTGGAAACAAAGTTTTAAAGTACAACAGGTTTGACCCTGAGATGGAAGAGATTTGGGAGCAGAGAGAGATGTTCCCTGGACCTGCAATCTAAGGGCAAGCTCCTGGAGGGAGAATCTTCTATGGCAGCAAAGGCATCTGCTTAGTCCGAGAGGTGAATTCCACTCACCTAGAAGGCCGCTGCTCCCCAGCACAAGCTGTCAGGGCTTCCAGAGGTTGTAGAAACCACACCCATTGCACACCCCTACGCCAGCCCTTGAGATATATTCACTAAGCTACCAGTTTTCTGTGTGTAGAAAACATTAGCGTGTTCTGTGACTACTTTTCAGTTCTTCCTTTCACATGACAATGACTGGGATAGCAGTGGATAATTCATATACATATTCCCTTGGTAGATTTTCTGATTATCTGCATTGCTAAGAAGGAAATGCTTACATTCAGTTTATAGGAAAATTGGCTAAGTATATTATTACAAATATTGATTAGAACAAAATAGCGGCAGCAGTAGTGATAAAAGCTAATATTTATAGAAGATTCATATGTGCCCAGCACTGTTATCAGTGCTTTGCATGCATTAACTCATTAGATCCTGACCAAAGCCCCATGAGATATGCACTGCTGTTCTCATCTCAGCCCATGAGGCACATTCAGTTGAAATGACTTGCCCGGGATCCCACACCTTGCTTGTGGTGGAGCTGGCCTTGAATCCAAGTAATCTGGCTTCACTGTCCCTCTGGGGCAGGCCGGCTGGAGCATTGTGAAGGCCGGGGCAGGCTCTGACACACCCACATGTCAGCTGTATGACGTGCATCTTGTATGCAGGTGCCACAAGGTTTTCTGGGACTCCCCCTGCCTCTAGGTGAGCTCCGTGAGCCTCCCACAGCGTCCCGCCTGCCCACATCCCTGCTCATGCCCTGCCTTGCTTCCCCCAGCCCCACTGATCGACCTCACCCCGACCCACAGTGGATCTGCCATGCTGATGCTGCTCTCCGTGGTGTTCGTGGGGCTGGCCGTGTTCGTCATCTACAAGTTTAAAAGGTACGTGTGCCTCTGTCCTTGGCTCCCCGCCCCCTTCCTTCTCCGCGACAGGTTCAGAAGCACATGTGGCACGTGATGTCCATCTCCCGCGCATGGCAGTGATGGTTTCTGTTAATGTTTTAGGAAGATCCCCGGGATTAATGTTTATGCCCAGATGCAAAATGAGAAAGAACGGGAGATGGTCAGTCGAGTCAGTCCCACTGAAAGCAGGCCCCATATCTCTCAGACTGAACTGAGGAGGCCTGGCCCGCTGATAGATGAGAAGGTGGAATCCCAGCTCATAGGTAAATGATTCCCAGTAGCTGTCAGCCCTTCAGCCTGAGTAGTCAGCGGCTGACTCTCTCTCTAACTCCTTTCTGGCTTGACATAACCACTGTTTTCTACACTAACATCCCTCAGAGAAGCAGCTAAGAGACCTCCTTCCTTGCTTCCTCCCCTTAGAGCGAAAAAGCCTCCCTGCTCCTGTCTAGTTGTCCCCCTCCCCCCTCGTGGCTTTGTTCCTCTCTTTGCAAAACCCCTTGCTAAAACGTTGGCCTATAAGCTTTCTTGGGCAAAGAGCAAAACATTGGTTCTTACAAGACTCGGGAAGGGCTGGCCCCAGGGCTGGCCCTGGTGGCCTGGAGGGCCGGGCAGGGTGTGAGGGACGGGGCACCTGACGACCAGAACAAGATATGGCAGCCTCACCTTGAGACCGCTTTAAGGAGGGCATCCTGCCCTAGAGGAGTGACAGCCCGATCACCCTGGGATTTTTTAAAAAATCTAGCAGTCATCTAAAAATCGTCCCCCAGAAAAGACAGAACCTGAGAATTTTAAGGACAAGAGGCACCAAGTTTGTAGAACAGCCCAGGAGTGGGCTTTCCTGAGAGAGCTACTGGAGGGTTAGATGGGCAGCTCTCTTTCTCCTTTTTTCCTGCCCCCTACCAGAAGTGTTAAAGTGGACTTTGTCATATACCCATAGAGTCTGTGATGTAAGCATGCCAATCCAAACAGCTAGGAATAGAGTCTCCAGGGTGACGTGCGAGACCCTCTTATTTATGGCAGAGAAAATTTCCCGAGAAGTTAGACAAATGCGCGAGGCCACCATTGTGACCCTTTTCTCTTCTTGTTTCCTCCTGTCTGTTGGCAACAGGAGTTGAAGCCGTAACTGTTCCCACCTAGACCCTGCAATGCTGACTCCGACGGATAAATTACTATGTAACCATTCATGCTTCACTCTAATGTGATGATGCCAAGCCACCTAGCAGGCCCTGATAAGATTGTCACTTGGGGGAAAAACGAGTACCTAAATGAAAACATCGCCCTGTCTTTAAACCGATAGCGGACAGCCCCGTGGCTGTGTTAAGGGGAAATTTAAATGCAATGACTGGCTGGTGCTGGAGGTAATAACCACTGCAGCCACGGAGGGTGTCCGGTTTTCACAGCGCGCTCTCTTTTATCTGGGGAGACAGGGCGATAAATGCGTAATTGCTTTGGGTTGGAAAGAAAAAGGCTTTTCTGTCTGCAAGCCCAGAGAGGCGTTCACCCTGTGTGTTCACTGCTGGAGCTTCCAGGTTGCCTCTCGGTGGGTCGTTTGGTTTTCAATCCCATTTCCACGGGGTCCGAAGCACAGCTGCTGTTTCCCTTTATCCCAGTAGCTCTCCCTCCCTCGCCAGGACATTGCAAAGTCTCTGACACCTTTCTGTTTCCAGTGTCATTAAGTGAGTAAGTGTTACACGTTTTCTCTTAGGAGAGTAGCTTTACCCTCCCCTCCCTCCCCTTCTGCTCAACCTGGTGACTCATCTCTCCGATTGCAAAGAGCAAGACAAGCCACTCCACCTTCAACGCCAAAGCGGGGATCTGCTGGGGCACACTTTGCAATTTAAGGACAACCCCAGAGGCTCCAGGCGACCTGCTTGCCACCCATCAGGAAAGAATTTCGCTCTTGTCAAGCGCATCACCCTTCATGACCACTAACTCTGTGTTTTCTTTCTTTCCTCTGTTGTTCTGTTTCCTATTTTGCCAGGAAGTATTTCCATAGTTGCTGAGAATCAAAGCACAAACGAAATCCCTACCTATGTAAATGTTTGAATGGAGGACGCCAGTAAAAACAAACAAAACCAAACAAACCAAACAAATAAAGTAAAAACGATCAAAATCCAAACAAACAAACACTCACTGCATCGGGACTTTTTAATTCTCCAGACACAGACGACAAGGGTTGTTAGCTTTAAGCCTGTGCATGTGGACGGTACCTTGAGAACACGCTTGGAGGGGCAGTGGACAGGTGCTCTTTTCATGGAAAAACACTCCCCTCCCCCTCTCTTCTTCTCTCTTTTTCTGATCCGTCGTGTTTGTAGAAAATTCCTAACATATACAGGCCAAGGAAATCTGCATGCATTTTTGGAACTCTTCTTGGCTCTAGATTTCACAGCTATTTCAGCTCTACCGGCTGATGGGTGGGTTAGCCACCCCAGCCCCTTTTCACAAGACACCAGGACATGCACAGAAGTTCGAAACCCTGAGCTATTTCTCTGTTCCATCTTCCTTATTGCCATGTCCACTTCCAAGTTATCTGTGTTGGCCAGCAGTGGCCACAGGCTGCTTTCTGCATCCTGTGTGGCCATGGGGATGAAGCTCTGAGTTGAAGTTCCCTGTATGCAGGCAGAGTAGGGAAGGACAGCAGGCAAGGGCAAGCATGTCAGAAGTGGACCTGTGTTTCCTGTTCAGCCTTTCCGGTCATGACTGCTTCTCTTACAGCTTTCTTTACTCCTCCTCCAATTTGTATGGAAAATAGAATCTTAGTTACCCATGGACCTGCCTTCTCATTTGTATGCTGTCCCTGTGGTCATGATCCGTAGATGTCTTTGTATCTCTCCCTTCCAGGCCCCAAGTTACCCTTCACCTGTTCCCACCTTTTCTTCCCAAACATGTTGCTAGATTCTGGACCTTAACCCTGACATTCCCTAAATACTGGCCTAGCCTCTGCCACCCCTACCTCCACCGCCCACAAGTTCCTTGTCACTGTCAATTTTGGACACTCCCAAGCATGCCAGCTTCCGTACTCACTGACCAACTGCATCCTGCCTTGCAGGGTTCAGCTTCATGCACCCTCTGTCTCCTCCTCTTCCAAATACCCTTGTCCTCTCCCACCTGGACACATACCATGTGTGTGAAAGAGTTGGTATGTCAGCAAAGTAGTTCAAATCTGGCCACGTGCATTGGCAAAGAAAGCATTCCAATGAATGGTGGTATCCTCACACCCTCACAAAACTCTCGTGCAGGCAGGTTTTAGAAGATTCTTGTGAGAAATGTTTTGAACATGTTACTGTATGGCAGGGCAATTTCCTTCTGTGATGGTTGCTGTACCAGTATTTCTTGTCTCCCAGTAGAGTAAAAATGTTTGTAAAATAAAACCGTTTTCAGCAGAAGAAGCAGGTTAATGGGTTCAATGTTCAAGGTCCGAAAATATATAGAGGTCTTGTCTTACATAAGGATGATATTTTGATTGTATAGGATGAGCCCAGCCATTTCACTTGCGTGCTCCCAGATCTCTGAGTATCATAGGATTGGCAAAGGCAACATTAATAGCATAAAGGGGAGGGGTTAGCCTGCTAACTAAAGCGATTGGCTCAAAGCATGAAGAAATTCCAGTTTTCCCCGGGCAATCAGGAGAGAAGGCCCCGAGAAAGAAGGAAACGAGAGTATGTCCAACAGAAGCCCTTGGAATATTCTGGATTGGGCAAAGCCCACTCTAAAATTCAGGAGAAAACAGTTTTGAAAAAACTACTCAGAGCGCAGCCTCCTTCTTGGTCAACAACAGGGTATAACAGGGCTCTGGGCGTCCTATTCAGTAGCCCAGGCAGAGGAAGACTAGCAAAGCTGACGTTAGAAGGTAATCAAGCAGAAATTTTTATGGTTGAAGATGCCCTCTATGCATTTGGGAAATGGATTGTGCCTGAGGCGGCCATCTAGAAATCAATTGCTCCCTGACCTGCCAGGCTTCCTATCCCATAGGAAACATCCTCATTGATCCTCTTCAGTTGGACCCTCCCAAATTTAATCTGGAAGACCAAGTGTTTGGGAAACAAAAGAGGCCCAGGGAGTCCTCAGAGTTGCAGTTCTGTTCATTTTAATTGGAAAATGATGAAAAAGGGACCAACACTCAAACTAGCACAGTGCCTTGCCTAGAGTATCTATAAAGATGGTTATTTGTTGAAGGAATAAATGAATGATGACATGAGAAGACATAGGGAAGAATGGGCTTGTAAGTCCTAATGAAGAGCAGAGGTGGACATGAGATGCTTGGCATTCTGGGAAGTGACCAGAGATGGCCAGCTCTAGGTGCAGCATCTCCCAGGTCCTCATGTGCCTCTCCTACCTGTAGGAGATTCAAGAGGCAAGGTACTGCTCAGTAGGAATCTCATTGTTCTTAAGATCTAGCTCCGTGTTTCTCAAAGTGTGGTACTGGGCCAGCAGTATCAGCATCACCTTGGACTTGTTAGAATGACAGTTTGGGGTCCCCACCCCATCTCTACTGAATCAGAAACTCCAGGGATGGAGCTAATCAATCTGTGTTTACAAGCCCCTCAGGCAATTGGGAAATACACTGAAGTTTGAGAACCACTGTTCTAGGCCATTCCAGCTCAGTCCCCGAAGAGAACTTAGTAATAACAGTCTATAGTTGGGAGGGACCCAAGTGCCTACCTACTCGCTAACAGCAGGTGCAAACACAAGGCAGAGTGTGGTGGGCTTGAGGCCAGAAGAGTGGGTGGGGAAAGATAGATGTAGAGGGTAAGATTCAGGGCAAGATAAAAATCTGACATCGCAGTGTTTTCCAAATCTCAGAAGGCAAGCTGTGCATGCTCTACCCTGAACTACCCAGCCCACATTTTCTCCCTTGCCTTATTCCTAATCGGGCTCCCTGTCCAAAATGCAAAGGTTTGCTTTGCTTTTTTTTCTTCAGAAGTTCAAAACAGCAACTTTGAGAGCAATGGGGTGCTTGGCAGCTGTTCTGTGTTTTTCCAGGATTCCAACTGAGCATTGAAATCCCTCATTTGCCAACTTATTTTTATAGGAAGCCAATTTAAAAAAAAAAGAAATAAAGTTTTCTTATAGTATTGGAACTACTTCTAATTTTCAAATGACTTTTTTGATGTATTTTTTTGTTAAATACTATGTAGTGTAATGTATAATTGCTCTTGTTTATTGCTTTTACAATCATATTTATTAAACAGATAATGTCTCTAAAGTCTTGGTTTCAGGGTGGTTATTTATCCCAAACCTGAATATTCAGTCTTGATATAGAAGTGATCTACCTCCTTGTTTCTCAAAGTGTGGTCCTGGACCAGACCTGGAGGATTTTGTAAAGGCTAATTTTATGAGATTATAATAAAGGTCACAGGCTGGAAGGGTGATTGATTTTTCTATTGTTTTGTTTTTTGCTAACAAAGTAGAATATATTCTACCGCCTGAATTCTGTCTACATTTCGGTTGACCATATAATGTTTCCTGCTTTATTCTATTTAAAAATCACTCCAAACTGGTTACTTTGAAATACTGAACATGCTCTTTTGAAGTGATTATTATGGAACAAACCCATTCAAATTTGTTCATAAGCTTGGAGTTACTGAAGGACCCAACCTGCTTGAAATGAACTTGGAGAATGGTACAGGCTCCCGTGGTAGTGTGAAATTGCCTTTGAACCTGGAATCAAGAAAGTGGCGTTCTCTTTCTGGCTGTGCCAGCTGTGTGACTTTGAGCAAGGCTCTTCAACATTCAAAAACTTTAGTGTCCTCATGCATCTCATTTGAAGGACCAAGACACCCAGCTTTGATATTCGGAGTGGGCGAGTCATTCCTGAGAGTCTCAAATAGCTGATTTAAACTTGGTGGATTGGCCTCATGGCTTGCCTAACACATCTCTTCTGGGCAATGGTTTGCCTCTATATTTGATTGAAATATGTGTGTAGGCACATAAACATCCTCCTTAGCCTGCCCAAAGAGTCATGAGGCTCAGCATGCAGGATTCCTGTTGTTGTCAGGTGGCCTTTAACCTTTCCTTCCCAGAGGTCAAATCTGCTTTCTGAACCTTCCCTTTTTTTTTGTCTCCTGTGTCCCTGAGGGTCCAGGCAGTCAAGCAAAATCCTTACTAGAGATTTCAAACAGAGGGGATTTGATACAGGGAGTTTTTTGCTTGAGTAACTGAATAGCCAAGATGCCCAAAGGGGGAAAGGGAGAGGACCCCAAGTTTAGCATCAATAGGAAGGCTTTACCTTCCCTGGGCTGGAAGGACACAAGGATCCCCAGAGGCCAGGACCTAGGACCACCAGGTGAAGGAAGCATTTGTCTGGCAGTTGTTGGAGCCATGGTGGAGACAGGGAGGACTACAGGACGATAGTCAGCTATGCTTCCCAAGCTCTGGACTCCATCTCTGGTGGATACTTCCCTTGAGCACTTCCAGCCACCAGCCGGGGACAGGGGAGCCTGGGAAACGTAGTTTCCTGAAGTACACAGCAGAGCAGGGAGCAGTGGGGAGTGGACTTGAGAGAACACGGGCAGGTAACTGGCACAGCACCTTCAAGTTCAGTCCACATCAAAGCCAACAAATCTGCCCCAACCCAAAGGCACTTTTAAACAGTAGATGCTGTTTCTCTGTGACATTCTGTCATATAGTCCCCTTTAAACAGCATGGATTTAAGACTAGGTGTGTTTCTGTGTACTACGTTCTGCCTTTCTCGCCAGGTTCTGTGCTCATCTAGGGGAAGATCTTGATTTACTTTTCATCTCACTCCTTCAGCCTTTAGCACTGGGCATTGCCATTAGAGGGCACTAGATAAATGTTTGCTGACAAAACCCCGAGTTTTCAGTTGCAGGTGTTGGGAGCAAGTCCATTTTATTTAGCAGCGAGCTCCGAGGGGGCATCTTGGGTCTGACTCCCAGGTGTTTGTCAAGAACACATGCTCACCCTCCCTCGCTGTTATCCCTCCAGCTGCTGAAGTCAGGAAGCTATTCTTAGATATTAATTTAAGTCAAACAATTGCAGTTTAGAAAAAAAAAAAACTGGCTAGAAAACCAGACTGTTTGTTTTCTGAATTATTATGTAATCTGTTTATTTCTTAGGACTTAATAATATTTGGAAAATGCTTGTTAGGCTAATGCTTCCTAGTGAGGGAACCTCAAATAATTCCAGTTGGACACATACAAGGAAAAAGCTGTTATAGTTTTCATTTTCACACAACGCAGAGTACTAACCACTATACGATCACGGCGAGCTACCAGAGCCTTTAGTTTTCATTTTCAATACATGAAAAGTAATCTTTGGTTTTCAGAATACAGATATTTATTAATCCATATGTGGTTCAGACTTTTTCAGGAGCATGTAGTCTGATAGGAACAATGAACAGATAAACATTGTTTAATGTAACATATACAATGCTGTCATAATATAGGGTCATTTTAAGACATTGATAGGGAAAAATAAAACAGGAGAGAGCAGAGTGACCGGGGATGGGGATGGGAGAGGTGGTGTTGGTCCCTGGCTTCTCTGAGATCTGAAAGCTAAAAAGAAACCAGCCATTTGAAGACACATACGTTGTACCAACTTTTTCAAAGTCAGTTGTGGAGCCTCAACCAGAAAACAAAACAACTTTGAACCTCAACAACATTTAGAGATGCTTCTGAGTTTAAGGACCAAATAGCTTCCACAGGAATTTCCCCAGGGAATCATATATTTATAGTCAATTTTCTTACATAACATACATGTTCCTAAAACTCACCACATTATACCAAATAGCACAGTAAAAACCAGAGGGCTTAGAAAAAACTGGGACCAGGACACAACACAGAAACTTTCTCTTGTGTCTGTTCAACGAGTCAGTGTCACATTAAAGATACGAGCCTGTCTTAGTCTACTATTACATACACAGTGCCAGAGATTGGGTGGCTTACAAGTAACAAATTTGTTTCTTACAGTTCTGGAGGCTTAGAAATTCAAGGTCAAGGTGCAGACAGATTCAGGAGACTTGTTCGTTGGTTCTGAGATGGTGCCTTCTCGCTGGGTCCTCACATGGTGGGAAGGGCGAGGGATCTCAATGGGGTCTATTTCATACAGTTTTATAAAGGCACTAATCCCATTCACGGGGGCTCTGCCCTCCTTGACCTAATCACCTCCCAAAGACCCCACCTTGTAATACCTTCACGCTGGGTGTTAGATTTTCAATATATGGATTTTGTGGGGCACAGAAACATTTTCCGTAGACCATAGCAAAACCTAATAAAACTGGTATTACAGTTTCATTCATGTTAAATGGTAAAGAAATACACAAATAAAACACTTCCCTTGAAAAATACCCGAGGCTTGCTGCTTGTGAAGGTGGGCAATGGAGTGCTCACAGCTTGTGGTTACTGTTAAGAGGTGAAATCTGAAAGTTGTACCACTGAATGGATGGTATGGCTGAAAACACACAAGGCAAATGGAGGTAGCTGGCAGATGTATGAGGGGCGTGTGTGTTCTGTGTATTTTTTTTTTCTTTTTACCTTGTTTGAAACTAGCTCACAGACTACAAGCACTGTGAGGCCAGCTTCATTATTACTTTTCCTCCTTTACGACCATGTTCTATGTATTTTTATATGGCTGAATTCAGCTGAATACAGCTCGGTGTAGTTTTCTGTGTTCACCTACTATTTCTCATTGACAAAACCACACAAACACTCATCTCTATGGTTAGTAGGTGGGGGGTCAAGACTCCAAAACTAGACAGGCCTCAGGCCTGGGCAGCTTAGAAACACAACTGGGTCGATTCCAAATCAAAGTTGTCTCATGAGCTGGATTAGCTAAGAGAAAAATGCAATGAGGACTGTTTTCCGAATCCGTCAGTGTGATGCATTGCAGAAGGCTCATAACAAGAGACCGGCCATCCTGGGTGACATGCCTCGCCAAGTTACTGTCTAGAACAGTGGTTCTCAACCTTCCTAATGCCGCGACCCTTTAATACAGTTCCTCATGTTGTGGTGACCCCCAATTTCATTGTTACAAATTGAACATAATTAAAGCATAGTGATTAATCACAAAAACAATATGTAATTATATATGTGTTTTCTGATGGTCTTAGGCGACCCCTGTGAAAGGGTCGTTCAACCCCCAAAGGGGTTGTGACCCACAGTTGAGAACTGCTGGTCTAGAAGAAAATCCAGAAAAGACTCAGTTTGTCCTTCTCACTTTGCAGAAGTTTTTTCCTATTTGGGGTTGAATTGATGTTTCTGGGGATTTATGAAATCAGATTTCTGGGCATCCATGAGGGAGGGTAGGCATAAGTTGGTAAAATGGATTTCTCTCACAAACATGCACTTTTTTTTAGGTGAATTGCTAGATTAGCAAGAACAAGGAAAATAATCATTAAAATGAGATGAGATTTTTCCCTATAGAAATAAGCTGAAAATGCTCCCAGGAAATCCAGAACAGATAACTATTGATTTTTTTAAAAATATATCAGATAAACAATTCAGAAAGTTATTTGTTCTGCCTTGTATATATTCTAAATTTATAGATTATTTCCAAATGTGCCATAAATAGTATTTCTTCTTTTTTCATATGCAATGTATTGTGAGGGTATTGGGACTATGGGACAGAATATGAAGGGTTTGATATAAGTAGGGGACAATGAGCTCTCAAAGGAGAGAAAACAAGTTGGTGAAGTGTGGTACATTTCCTATGTCATAAAGAATAAATGATTTTAAACATGCAAATGCTTTAAGGTAGGAATATTCATTTAACAATGCAGAAACCTTGCTCCGGGAAGTTTAAGACTCCATATCCATGGTCACATAGTTCATCAAATACTAAGTCAGAATTTCTACCCAGGACTCCTAATGGACACGCGTGCTCCTGTCTCCATTCTACCACCCTCCCTTCCACTGCTACAGGTAAGCCACATTTGGTGATGGTTCAAAACAAGTAAAGTGCACGTTCACGTCGTTCCCTGCTCTAATACGGTGGTGGGAAAGTGTTTACACAAGGAGAAGAGATATCATTCTTTTGAAAGCACCAACCAAATCCCATCTCAGCCCTTACTACTGAGTCACACACATAAAGACTTATATTCCTTTTGACCTTACTTGAGGTGGTACAGGGGAAGATAAGCCACCTAAGCACCCCTGGAGGAAAGAACTGACAATTGCTACTAACTTCAGTAAATAAGTGGTTACAGAGAAAGTGTTTTCCAAATACGGGCACTAAGGAGTCTGAGACCCA